CCTTGATATTTCCATGTGGGTTTGCCCTCTCTCTGTCTTGCTTCTTTAATACGTGGGTCAGAACTCATTATCAGGGTTACAGGCAGAGAGACTATGAGAACAGTCTGTGAAATAAAGGAATTTAGGGATCTTGGAACTGTGTACTTGAGCAKTGTATTCAGGGACAATAATAATAGTAGTAGAATTTCTAAAATGTTCTGTAGATGTACAGAAGAGCCATGCAGAAATGTTTTAAGCCCTATGGGCCACAATGTGTTTTATGCCCTGATAATATGCTTTATCTGTAATACTATAATAACAAAAGAAGAAATCAGAGGTTAAACATAACTACTTTTCTTTTTACATCATTGTCTTAACATTGTTTCATACTCTAGATTACAGTGATAAGTAATAGGCTTTAAATTCTGCATCATAAATTAAACCATTTATCATAAATTAAAGGACTTATTTGGAGCACAATTGGCATGAATGAGTGTTTTCCAAACTGAATATGTCAAACTGAACTAGACCTGAGAAATGTCAGAGAAAATGTCCTCGTWCTTCCCAGTCTCCTTTTTTAATTTTTTTAGTTGTCAGTGAACTYTATTTATTTATATGTAGTGCTCAGAATCGAACCCAGTGCCTCACACATGCTAGGCAAAAATTCTACCACTGAGCTACAGCTCCAGCCCCTGTCTTTCTTCTTGCTCACCTCTTTCTGTCTCCTTTAAGGCTTGGCACAGATAAACCTCATTTTTATACTTTCCTCCATTTTTTGGAAAGGGGATTGGTACACATCAAGTACAGATATTGGCAGTCCGTATTGGATTTATGGCCCTTCTAACTAAAATCTGAATAGAAGCCAGCCCTTCAGTAGTCTCAGCCATCTGGAGCTAAAATGATAAATCTAGAAATGATTAAAAAATGTTCTCTGAGTAACAGATATTTTTCATAAAATCAGGTACTAAAGTCAGTGCATTTCATTCCATAGAACAGACGATCTTCCCTTAGGCAAGACTACTGAGTATAAAATTGGGCAGTAGATCAAAGCAGGGACACAAAGACATACTAATAGTGACAATAGGAAGAAAAGATAGGAAAAAATCACACAAAAGCAGGCTGGCTGTGGCCATGTAATATAGGCTCAGAGATTAACTAGTTTGCCTGTGGTCATCCGGTAACTAGTAAATAGAAGTGTCTTGGTTTGGATTCAGTGCTGTCGATTCCCAAATCATTCATCTTCTGCTGAACCATCAAGAGGAAGGTCCATGGCAGTCATGCTGGGAAATAGATTTGTTAGGCATGCCTATTGCATGAGAGCTGGGTTCAAACTTGATTTTATAATAGTCTAGGGTTTTTGAGCAGGGAAGGGTTTAGTATAAACCATTTTCCAAAGCATTAGTCAAAGGGTCATGTGCAAAATTCATTGGAATAGAGAAGATATCTGATATTGGGTGGGGGGGATTATGCCTTAGGGTATTAACATTGGAGTAAAAGCAGGAGTGGGGTAGTATGTGATTTGGAAGATGAAAGAAGGAATAAAGGGAAGGAAAGATTTTTGAGGCCAAGTGATAGGCCAACTTAAGAGGATCAACGGATGTTGGAGACACCGAGAAATGGCTTAGAGATAACCTCTTCCTTTGGAAAAGTGAGGAAACTAAACTCTGAGTTGAGAAGTACCGTTTTCAAGGTCATAGAATTAGTTCAGCCCTTTTGTAACCCCTAATTCACCTTTGCCCTACTCTGTGATTCTACTCTCAGTGTGCTGTAATCTTCAACTCCTAAATTAAAATTACCTAGTGGGTACTTGTTAAGTTGGTACCCTCGAGTTTATGACCACGTCCATTTGCTGCCTTCCTGCCCACTTGGACACCATAGTCTTCACTGCCCACTGTCTCTGCAACCAAAGAATCATCTCTTTGGCTTTAAAAAAAATATTTTTAGTTTTAGATGGACACAATACCTTTATTTTATTTATTTCTCTAAGTGGTGCTGAGGATCAAATCCAGTGCCCCATACCAGGCAAGGGGTCTACCACTGAGCCACAACCCCAGCCCTCATTGGCTTTTATCACATATTTTTCCTTGTTTTTTTGGTTGTGACATCTCCCCTAGAATGTCTTGCAGTCTTGGATTTGGAATGTTATAATTATGCTTGAACTTATCTCCATTGAATTTTTAAGGAGTGCCTCTTCCACACAGTCCATTGTGGGACAGCTGTCCACATATCACATGGTATTGCTTGTGATGAATCTTCCTTTAAAAGAATGTTCCCACTGACCAACTTAACTTTTCCAGCACAAGGTCCTAGTGAATTAGTGCTGGTTGAAGAGGTCTACCAGTTTCCTAATTTATGAAATGGAGATGATTCCAGCTCTGTTTACCTCAAAGTAATTTTGAGGATTAGCAAGATGAAACTTTTGAAAACTATACATAAAATGGAAGTATTATCATCAAGGCTTTCAAGTCAAGGCAAAGCAACTCTTTGAAATTGAGTAAAAGTATGGAATGTGAGAGTAGGAACACTGGTTGTTATAGGACTTTCCATCAAATTATGAATTCCTTTATAACCAAAGATTATAGAGGTTAGTCTAACTCCTAATTTAATATTTTACATAGAGGAAAATTGAGATTGCAATAGCAAGTTAGTAGCAAAGTCTACACCCCAAATTACTGGAATTCATCCCAGCCCCTCTATTCTATTCTACATAATATAGCACCTATGCATAGCAGGAGCTGTTTCCAATCTAACAGGCAGGCACAAGAGCAGTTAYAGTGCCATAGAGAAAAATCACAGTAAAATGAGAGCAGAATCCAGGAATATCCCTTATCCTCGGGGTCCCAGTTCCCAAGGGGTTCTGTGGTGTGCCCAGCACAGTGTGAAACATCTCCTTTTGAGTCTTTTTCTAAAATCAGTAGGCATTCAGGCAGGGGATGTAGCTCAATGGTATAAGTGATTTCCCAGCATGTGTAAAGAGCGGGGTTCAATCTGTAGTATTATTAAAAAAAATAAAAATAAAGTAACATGTAGAGTAATTCATATATGAGGCTAATAAGCTTACTTTTCCTGATAACTTCCTTCATTTAAGCTTGTTTTAAAAATCATTTTGAAGGTGCCATAATGCTCCGGGAAGTACACAGCCAAGGCCCTTTTTGCTGTTACTGATTTCATGTTATCAATCTATGTGGCTGGGGAGTTGCCAGGCAGGAGGAGGGAAAGGCATTCCCTCAGGGGTACAGATGTAGTAGGATGGACACTGGGAATGAGTTCTATTTGTGTCTGGCCCTAACCATATGTCTGATCCTTCCAGTGTCCTGCTTTTGGGGGAAGGTAGCAACCTGACATTGTTTGCCCTCATCTTGTCTTGGCACCAAATAGCTTCTTGTTTGCTTGTCATGTGATTGCATGCAATGGGGCTTTATGTGTGAAGTGTGTGCTACTTTGAAAACATTTGAAATATCCTTAACAAAATGCTCAAAATTGTCTTTTTCTTCCTTTTTTTTTCCTTGATGCAACAGAAAATGTCCCAAAAACAATAGAGGACGTCGACAGAAGCAAAACCTAGGTCATTTTACTTCAGATACTTCATCCAGAATGGTTTAAATTTATGACTTTTATATGTATACTGACCATGTGATGTACACTTATTATGTCTTTTTTTAAAGAATGGGAATATTTATTTCAGAGGCCTTATTTTTGGACATTTTTAGTGTAGTACTGTTGGCCTGTATTTAGAATATTCAGCTACAACAGTTTTGGACTGTTTAGAAGTCTTTGTTTTATGTTTTTAAATGCAGAAATTGATTTAACAAATTTGTACCACATGGTAATTCCAAGGCTAGTTCTTTACCCATGGAATGTAATATTTTTGCAAAAATGGACCCACTTCACAAATGGTTATAAAGTCATACTCACTTCTTCTACAATAACCACAGCAAATGACCAAGCATGAACTAAAATTAAAGATGTTTACAGATTACTTTTCTTACAAAAAAATATTCTAGAAGACACTGTGTTTAAATAGATATTTAAATGTTTTTGAGATTTAGTACCTGATTTTTTTAGACACTGCCTACCGCATGAACTGTAAAGCTGTGTGTGTTAGATGTGAAATATTTATAAGATGTATGGACTGGAATTTGCTTATTCCTCTCTTTGAAAAAATAATTCTCATAATTTGAAAAAGTACCTGGTAGTAATGATGCGACAGATCACTGAAAAGTAGATTTAGGTGTTGTTAAAATAGGCTTTTAACAAACAGATTGGAATAAAGCCTACACTGTCAGTGAAACTACTTTAATACACATTCATTTTTAAACAAAATATTTGTTTTAACATGCATAAACAAATTGTACCAGTRTTTGTAAATACAATACAAAAATGATTGTTACTGATTGGTGCTCTTAAAGTGAGCTTAAAAATGACCTAAGACCTCTATCCAAATTTGTCCTGTAGTCATAGCTATATTAGTAGATTGTTGGTGTTTAAAGGTCTGAAGTGTGAGTAGACTGTATTGAGCTGTTTAATGTGTAGTTTAGATACTCAAAAATATGCATGTAGAATTTAAAGAATAATGATTGAAATTAAATATTAATTTTAATATTTGGTTTGGAAAAGCATGTTATAATATAATGTTTTCACTATATGGCCTCTTTCGGTGTGTTTATTTACAGTATTCTTTGATACTGATATATCAAGTGTATAAAATAGGTAAAGTTAGTAGGAAAAGCAGATTTCAGTTCATAAAACCCCTTTGATTTTACAAATACTGCTTGAAATTATCTAAAGACCAAAGCTTCAGCCAGTATTTGGAATTTGCTTTATTACTTGGCTTCAAGGCTTAATATTAGTAACATGGTGGCTTTAGTGAACTTTTTTAAAAAGCCTTCCTCTTCTACCCACACAGTCCTATTTGAGTCCCTTAGTCAGTCAGCAAGCATGTTTGGAACAGTCCCGGGTCCTTTGCAAGGGCTCATATTGCAGAACAGTCACGGATGGGTATTTGTCGTTATAAATACTTGTCCGTTCTCCAGGGGTGGGGTTTCCAGCCCTTTCAGCAATTCCGTTGCCTGTTATTGAGCTGGCTTTGTGCTCCAGGTGTCTGAATTGATTGCAGTAGGACATCTTTCACTAAGAAATAAATAAAATGGAACAGAATGGGTCTGCTTCAAATGCTGATAAAATCCCCCAGAATCGCCTGTCGAGTATTACCGAGGATGAAGACCAAGATGCTGCTCTTACCATTGTCACTGTGCTGGACAAGGTAGCCACCATTGTGGACACTGTGCAGGCAAGCCAGAAGAGAATAGAAGAGAGACACAGGGAGATGGAAAATGCCATAAAATCTGTTCAGATTGACCTGTTGAAGCTTTCACAGTCACATAGCAATACAGGCTATGTCATTAACAAGCTGTTTGAGAAAACACGAAAAGTCAGTGCTCACATTAAAGATGTGAAGGCCCGGGTGGAGAAGCAGCAAGTTCATGTGACAAAAGTTGAAACCAAGCAAGAGGAAATAATGAAGAAAAATAAATTCCGTGTGGTGATATTCCAGGTAAGCTTGCACTTGTGTTCAGTTTGATTTCTGTTATCTCTTATATTCTTTAATTGTCAACAGGTCATATCAGAGGTTTCCAGTGTCACATCTTAGCCATTGTATATATTAATGTGGTAGAATTCTGTATTAGAAGGGACCTCAGAACAAAACCATTTCTATGTTAACTAGTGCACTATCTTTCATATCAGTATTTTGAGCTCTCAACCATTTCATGTAATGTGAACTGTGTGGCTCATAGCTTAGGCTATTTCTTCCCTTTGAAATTTAATATTGCTGAAGCTCTTTTAGTATATTAGCCTTATTAGCATGATGCCCTCTTGTAGTCTTTGAGAATGTTAGAATTAGAGACCACCTAAGAGATCTCTAGTTTAAAACAACTCCTTGTTGCAAAAAAGAAGAAACTGGCAGGGATGCTTGTCTAGCATGTCCAAGCTCTGGGTTTGATCAGCTGCACAATAAAAAATGAAGAAACTGGAGTTCAGTACCCCAACAATAATCTTTTTTCTCATCATGGAGAGTCTACAAAGCCCAAAATACAAACTTTTCAGAATATATACTTGTCTATGGGAATTTTTACATTTGTCATAATAAGAAACAATATCTATTTCCTAACAATCAAGTAATCATTTTTACATTGTTATTATAATACCAAAGATACAGAAGTCACATAAACTACTATTTATCTGATTGCAAAGTCTCTTTACTTAGCTTATTTAATATAATAATATATTGAGCTAAGTTCCTAGAATCCTGCTCAGCACTCAAGATTTTTGAAATAGGAGCATATTTATGGCAAATGCATAATGTGTACAATATATTTTTAAAACTCTTACAAATGAAAAGGAAAAGTTGGAACTCTCTTCCCACAGTTTAAAACAAAAACCAGGAAAGTCATTATCTGGCAGCTCACAAAGGATGAAATAAGTAAGAACAGAATTCATCTTTCACATATTTAAACACTGGCAGTTACTAAAACATATGCTCAGTTTAAGTGTAGGAGAAAACAACCAGTTTCATGTTCTGCTGGCAGGAGTATTAATTGATGCAACATTTTTTGAGAGCAATTCTGTGATGTATATTAAAAACTTTAAAAGTACCCAAGCCTTTAACTCCAAAATTTCATGTCAAAGAATTTTTTCTAAGCATGACATCAGAAATATGTGCAGGAATGTTCACCGGTACATATTAAAACTATATTTTTAAGATGGATGCCTGTGTGCATAGGGGAAAAACCATAGAAGAATAAAAACAAAATGATATAGGAAGACAGTTGGATTATATTTGCAAACTACTAGGGAGGTGGCCTATAACTCTGCACAGTATTCTCTATGCGTTGGTTAATTCTCCATAGCCCTCTGTTGACTGATGAGAGTTACATTAGCATTAGAGAGGTATTTTAAATCTGTTTTTAGAAGCTTGTGCTTGTAGGTTAGTTAGGGAAAAGAATAGGAAGGAAAGAGAAGGATGCTGATTTCAAAGGTGGACAGAGTGGACTATTCCATTAGCAGTCTTTACCATTTTGCTTTCCTTCCAGGTCCCTAGAGGCCCTTCTTCAGGCTGAAACATTTCACATCACTTTCAGAGGCCAGGTCCAGGGTTAGGTATGTGTAGTGAGGATCTAGGTTTGATATTGAACAATGTGATATCTGTTCTTTGATTCTCCTTCTGGGGGTATTTGCAGTAATTGGTATATCTCATCCTCTGCTTGCGCATGGCCTGCCAGGAAACACACTTGGCATCTGACATTTTTCTTGAGGACTTTAGTACAAAGCAGTGGATGAGGTGCTAGCCCAGATTTACACAACTTACAGTGAAGAGGTTTCCTAAAAGTTCTGACTGTTTGTCCATCAACATATTTCCTTTTTTTTAAGTTGCTATGTTTCTGTATTCACCTGTTCATTCCCTATAACTTACTAGCAACATACTTTTTTTTTTTTTTGAGCCCCTAGAGTTACTTAAAGGAACTGAGAGATACTAGTTTAAGGCAAATCTCATTTCTTTTTTTTTTTTTAAAGAGAGAGAGAGAGAGAATTTTTTTTAAAATTTTCAGTGGACACACATCTTTGTTCGTATGTGGTGCTGAGGACCGTACCTGGGCTGCACGCATGCCAGGCGAGCGTGCTACTGCTTGAGCCACATCCCCAGCCCCCAAATCTCATTTATAATATTATAAGATTTATAATATCATGAAGATTTTGTAAATTAAGTTGTTCAGAGTAAACAGTAGTTTGTCAAAAAAAAAATTGCTGGGGCTAGGGCTATAGCTCAGTGGCAGAGCGCTTGACTAGCAAATATGAGCACTGGGTTTCATCCTTAGCATCACATAAACACACATGGACACACACACACACACACACACACACACACACACACACACACACCCCACAAATAAAATAAAGACATGCTGTCCATCTACAACTACCAGAAAAAGTTAAAAAAAGCAACTGCCATTCTTCTATAAGCAAATAGAGAAAAGATACTGACATCTAACAATGGATATAGAACTTGAATTCATAAATTTATGTTATGTTAGAACAGTGTATATGACATGCACATTGTTGGTTGTTATTAGTTAAATTTTTCATAATGTGTATAAATGATTATGTGGAGACACTCCCTCTACTAATATTTTCTTGGCTGTAATCTTTTGATCTCATATCTCCTAAAGTTGTGTATGGCTAAGTTTCCGCCCAATCCTGAATATTGGCATTTTAAAAAGTACCTGGCATTTCTTAAACAGTTACGATGTGAACACATTTTCTTCATGACCCCTCTCATCCTGCAAGCTAGGACTTGTACTATATCTTCTTGTACTTGTGGTATCAGAAACATAAATGGCCAAGGGAGATATTTGACTATTCCCTTAGATTCTTATATGTTCCTAAAATCCCCTGGATATATGGATGTTCAGTCAAATTTAGCTTACTCTGACCCTTGAGTCAAAAACATGTTACAAAAATTTTTTTTAACCTAGACTTTTATAAACAAATATAATTGAAGATCAACTACAATCTTTGATTCTTCCCATTAACTCATGGTATTGCTAACTCAGAAGAGTTGTAACAGAGTTTCCATAGCAACTACTTTTTCTGACTCTGCATCTGTTTTACTTTTATTTGGGGGGTGGAGGTGGGAGTACCAGGGTTTGAACCCAGAGATGATTAACCACCAAGCTATATCCCCAGCCCTTTTTACTTTTTACTTTTTTTTTTTTTAAAAGAGAGAGAGAGAGAAGAGAATTTCAATATTTATCCTCCAGTCCAGTTTTCGGCGGACACAACATCTTTGTTTGCATGCGGTGCTGAGGATCGAACCCRGGCCGCACACATGCCAGGCAAGCGTGCCACCGCTTGAGCCACATCCCCAGCCCTTGTTTTTTACTTTGAGTCAGGGCCTCACTAAGTTGCTGAGGCTAAGTTTGAATTTGTGATCCTCCTGTCTCAGCCTCTCCCAGGCCACTGGGATTACAGGCACACACCACCGTCCCTGGCATTTTGCTTTGGTTTTAAGCCTGATTTTATACTATTTGTTGTGTAGTTGGGGAGAGGAGTGTGTGATTTCAGAGGCAAGCTATATCTGAAGTTGTCATAGCAAGATTGTGAGGGTTTTTTCCCTACCAAGCAGTAATTAACTTATCCGCTCCTTCCTTTTCTAATTATACCTTTTTTAGGCCAGACCAACCCACACTGTGTTGCTGAAGCTACTCCCTGCAGCAGGTGTCAGGAAGGGGGTGGGGGGGACTACTTTTGCTGCATCTGATTCATCAGAGAGTTATGATACACCCACCTCTGCTTTTTTTTTTTTTTTTTAAGCTCATAGACACTGCAATCCTGTAGCCAAAGAATTTAATTTGAAGTAAGTATTCAAAGAAATAAGGTTCCAGGGATTCCTTCCTGACTGTCAGGCTAAGTTTTAGAATATGTAGTGTATTTATTATATATATTTTTTTAAATTTATATTTTAGTTGTAGTTGGACACAACACCTTTCACTTGTTTATTTATTTATTTTTTATATGGTGCTGAGGATTGAACTCAGGGTCTCGAACGTGGGAGGCGAGTGCTCTACCGCTGAGCCATAACCCCAGTCCCTCTAGTGTACTTATTATATCTTAAAAATTTTTTTGTTATTGTAGATGGACACAAAATACCTTTATTTTATTTATCCATCTTTATGTGGTGCTGAGTATCAAACTCAGTGTCTCACATGGGCCAGGCAAGCACTGTACCACTGAGCCACAACCCAGCCCTCTCTCTCTCTTTTTTTTTTTAATTGAATAGAATTAATCTCAAGTAGGAACAGTTTCTTTAGAAAACTGTCATTCATGGTGTAGTTAAAAACCTCATGGTCTTTAAGTTTTGCCTGTTTATTTTTAGAAGTGATCCGTAAGTATTGAGTTGGGTTTCTTTACATCTGTGGGCTGGTCTAACTCTCAAGGCCATCCATGTGTGTTACGTTTTCCAGTTCAATTCTCATTCTTTTGACATATCTGGCATTGTTGGTGCTGGAGGAATTGAGAGTGTTGTGTGTTGCTGGTCTGGAGAAGTGGAAAAGTAGGATCAGCTCAAACTATAAAGGTAGAAGTAAGGAATTAGTGCACAGGTTCAGGCCTCAGATGACAAGGACCTGAATTAAGACATTGGTAGAAAAGTGTGAAGGGAGAGGGGACTAGGTGACAATACTTGGCAAACTGTTGAATGTGAGGCAAGAAGAGGAAACTTTGGTGTGACGATTCTGAGGTTTCTGTCTTCTGTAGCACGTGGATGGTTATTGGTGCTGGAAGGTACAGGAAAAGTACAAGTGGAGAGGATGGTGGGTGCGTGTTGATTTTTGGACGTGCTCAGTTTGAGGTGTCTGTGTTATATCCGGGTGGAGCAGTCTGATCATCGTTTAGATGGGTCTTCATCTTAGGAGAAGGGGGAAGGTGAAGATAATGTGTGAGAAAAGGGACAACAAGTGAGAAACCTGAGAAAGGTCAATTAAAAATAATTTTTTTATTCCAATTTGTTATATGACAGTGGAATGCATTACAATTCATATTACACATATAGAGCACAGTTTTTCGTATCTCTGGTTGTATACAAAGTATATTCGTACCATTCATGTCTTTGTACATGTGTTTTGGATAATGATGTCCATCTCATCCCACCATCATTTCTAACTTCATGCCCCCCCCACCCCTCTGCCCTATCTATAGTTCATCTATTCCTCCCATGCACACCCCCTCCCTACCCCACTATGAATCCACCTCCTTATATCAGAGAAAACATTTGGCATTTGTTTTTTGGGGATTGGCTAATTTCACTTAGCATTATATTCTCCAACTCCATCCATTTACCTGCAAATGCCGTGATTTTATTCTCTTTTATTGCTGAGTAATATTCCATTGTGTATATATAGCACATTTTTTTAATCCATTCACCTACTGAAGGGCATCTAGGTTGGTTCCACAGTTTAGCTATTGTGAATTGTGCTGCTGTAAACATTGATGTGGCTGTTTCCCTGGTATGCTGTTTTTAAGTCCTTTGGGTATAGACTGAGGGGAAGGATAGCTGGATCAAATTGTGGTTCCATTCCCAGTTTTCCAAGGAATCTCCATACTGCTTTCCATATTGGCTGCACCAGTTTCCAGGCAACCAGCAATATATGAGTGTGCCTTTTCTCTCACATCCTCGCCAACACTTATTGTTGTTTGTATTGTTAATAGCTGCCATTCTGACAGGAGTGAGATGAAATCTTAGAGTAGTTTTGATTTGCATTTCTCTAATTGCTACAGATATTGAACATTTTTCACATATTTGTTGATTGATTTATCATCTTCTGAGAATTGTCTGTTCAGGTCCTTGGCCATTTATTAATTGGGCTATTTGTGTTTTTGGTGTTTAGCTTTTTGAGTTCTTTGTATACCCTAGAGATTAGTGCTCTATCTGATGTGTGCAGGGTAAAAATTTGCTCCCAAGATGTAGGCTCTTTATTCACCTCACTGATTGTTTCTTTTGCTGAGAAAAAACTTTTTAGTTTGAATCCATCCCATTTATTGATTCCTGATTTTAATTCTTGCACTATAGGAGTCTATTTTAAGGAGCAGCAGAGAAAGGATTATGGAGGAGGTCTGCAGGTTGACCATAGGTAAGAGTTTTTCTACTACAAAAGAAGCACTAATATGCTTTGTTTTTTTTTTGTCCTTCAGGAAGAGATTCGGTGTCCAACATCTCTGTCTATTGTTAAAGACAGAAACCTAACTGAGAATCAGGAGGAGGAAGATGAAGCCTTTGATCCCCCAATAGATCTCTCTTCGGATGAAGAATATTATGTTGAAGAAAGCAGATCTGCCAGGCTTAGAAAGTCAGGCAAGGAGCGCATTGATAACATCAAAAAGGCATTTTCCAAAGAAAACATGCAGAAGACACGGCAGAATTTTGACAAGAAAGTGAACAGAATTAGAACTAGAATAGTGACTCCAGAGAGGCGAGAAAGGTTAAGGCAGTCGGGGGAGAGGTTGAGGCAGTCAGGGGAGAGGCTGAAACAGTCAGGGGAGAGATTTAAGAAGTCTATTTCTAATGCTGCTCCCTCAAAGGAAGCTTTTAAGATGCGTAGCCTGAGGAAAGCAAAGGACCCCACAGTGACCCAAGGTCTGGATGGGGACAGGGAGATGGGTGTGGATATCATTGCAGGGAGCCCATCTCTGGGCCCTATCCATGAGCTGCMCACTGATGAGCCCAGTGACACAGAACAGGAGGCCACCAGGGTGGGGTATGCTCCCCGAGAAGGGGGGGACGTCCCAACCCCAGAGCCTTTAAAGGTTACTTTTAAACCTCAAGTGAGAGTGGAGGATGATGAGTCTCTTTTGTTAGATTTAAAGCAGTCTTCATAAAGAGGAATTCAGAGTCAGTCTACATCTCCTTAATCATGCATTTTTAGTTTGAATAGTCATTTATTTTTATGCTGTGTAGGAAAAAAAATGGTAGGGCTATTTCATTTCTTATGTTTAAAATCTTGAAGATCATATGAATGTTGCATACTTTTGTTTGTAACTTCCTTGGGAATTCTGTTTCCCCTGAGCCTGTATGATTCCTGCAGCTTTTTCTCTTACATCATTCTTTCTTGTGGCAGCTGTGGCTTTTTAAGTTTAACCTTTCTCTTGGATATCAGGAAAGTGGTTGCCTAACTCAGGCCAGGTAGATGTTTGGGCATCCAAAATAATGAAGGACAAATTTGTGCCCATCATTTCCTAGTGAATTCTAAATTTTGGTCTAGATTAATGTTGTAGCCAATCTCAAAGGGGAGACTATAACTAATCCAGATGTTTGAATCAACAGGTTATTTTGTAAGTAAAGAGTCACACCCCTTTTTGAAGCTTTTGGGTTAAAAAAAAATTGAAGTTCTGAACTTGAACGTTTGGTTTTAGTGTCATAGCTTTATTAATGGTGAGACACCTGGTGAGTCATCTGCTGAATCTCATTGATAGACATGGAAAGGGTTTGTCTGTCCTACTCTTCTCAGAGGGCTGTTGTGAGGTCAGGGGAAATGTTACACAATCTAGGGGAACAAGAAGCACATCCAGAGAAACAGAAACCACACTCTTCCCTCAAAACCAGAATCAAATACTTAGACCTTCTGAAGAAGCCCTGAGCACCAGGCACTGCAGGCCTCGGTTGGACAGAAAGTAAAGTTGGTCTTCAGGAGTCTTCACAGAATCAAGAGTGAAAAATAAATGACCATTTTTTTTTTTTTTCACCAAAGACTAAAACCAAACTTTGGGTTTTTAGGTGGGTCTTATAATGTTCCCCGGAAAATCCTTTTCTAATATTTTTTTGGATTTAGATCTGTGGTGGACTATAGCAGCACCCCCACCACCCCTGTTCTGGGATCCAACCCAGAGCACTCACGTACGCCAGGCAAGTGCTGTACCATGGAACCACATTCCCAGCTCATACAGCAACTTTGGTATGAAGAGCATGAGATGTAAGAATGTGGCTCTGTTGTCAAGTGGCCTTTCTAAAGTCAGCTGTGATGCAGTGGATTTGGAAATGACCTCCAAGATTTCTGTTTCCCAGAGTGAGCCCTTCAGGGCCTACCTGTCTAAAACGTGTTTACAGGTGTTCATCATAGCTGCTTTGGGGAAACCAGATTCCACTTAGCTGTTAGCTTTAGAGCTGTGTAGTCAGGAAGTTAGCTGTTTTTTGCTAAAGAAAGAAAGGGTCATCTGGTTCTGTACTTACAGCATTTTAAAACTTCTGCTTTTTTTTTTGTTATGAAAGAAATGATGAAATTGTTAGAATTTGAAGAGTTTGACAATAATTGGCTATACTAATTTTCCTCACTCAGATCAGTTTTGGATAATCATGTAGAGTTAAAAATAATAAACATAGACATGTACACACAGGCACACACGAATCAGCTTTAAAATATTTGACTCAGTTACCCAGATGTTTGAGTTTGGGAGTTTGATTCAGCATGATTTCTCTTCATTCTGCCTGAATACATAAAATCATAAATTGTTCATCTCATTATCTTTTTATATTGAAAACTAAAGTGTATACAACATTGAATAAAACTTTGAAAGAATAAATCTGAAAACATTTTTATTACAGCTTAAAAGGAGCTTGGATGCCTTAATCATACATTTTCTTAAGAACCATAATAAATTTGAATTTAAAAAGACATACTGAAAAGTTTGTTGTCGGTGTCCTAGTTATAAATATTTTCACTAATCAAACAACAACATGCAAACAAAGTCTGATGTAGTAACCTTTTTGTAGCATGTACGTTTCTAAGGAAGAATGTAAAGAAGTTAATGTAAAGAAGTGGCAAATTTTTTTTTCTATCACTAGGTAGAATATTTATCAGTTGGGTTAAAACAATTTTTTGTAAATGTTACTGTCAGGGAATTTTGCTTACTGACCATTATATAAGCAGACTTGACATTTTATGGGACATTTCTCATATAGGTGCATTTGAATTTTGATGAGGAAGTAGTTATAAACTGGTCAGCTCTTCTTCATGTTAGATTTAGTGCAACCCTGGAAACCACTAAAACAATTTCATGTTGCTGGCGGTTCATAGTAATCCTGTACTGCTTTCTTGCTGCTCAGGTTTTCCATGTTTCTTCTTCTGTCTCCTGACATTTCTTCTTATATTTAGGGCATTCCTAAATTCCACATTGATAATTTCTTCTACTCTCACCCTGTTTTCTTGGTATAAAGATGATAATTTGCAAAATCATGCATCCTATTTAATGTAAGGGATATTCCAGGCAATATCTTGTTTTAAAAGCTTAAAACAACACAGAACAGATTACTGATGTACTTATCTCTTTTAGAAATTATATATACCAGACTTTAAACAGTTTATTTGGATGAAATCATTAGCAACATTTGTCCCCTTTCTTGGTATGGGTACGAGACAGAGCAGTACAACACTTACACAGGAAGGAACATGGAGCCCAGTCTGACCCATCTCCATGGAGTGGACAGAGGAGGGAAGGGAAGTGCAAGTCTGTCTGCTGTATGTGATAATCCAGGTGCTTTCCTTGTCAATGGATAGTGGCCCAGTTCTGCATTATAGGTTAGAGAAATAGGGTAGAAGTGAAATAAAGTACATGAAAGTTGAGCATTCTGAGAGTGTATTATGTGGGGATTCCTGTGAGCTCCCCAAAACTGGAAAATAAAACCAAAATGAAAGTGCAAACCATTCTAACTTCATTCTTTGCCTTCCATGCACATTAAAGGGTTTGGTTTAGAACAAGGCCCAAAGTTCATTGTAATTCTTATCAACTAAAAAAGTATTTATGTAAAGTTATGTAAAGTATTTCTCAGGGCCATTGTTAACTGTGCAATTCCATTAGATAAAATCATGGGTCTGTTTTTTTTTTTGTTCTGCTGAGACATGTTTTCTAGAGCTGCTTTTATTGAACTCTGCAAAGAAAATTTATAGATTCCAATCCCCAAGTAAGGGGAATGAAACTGTTAGGTTTTTATCTTAGATCTGTTTGAATTTGAGGTGTGATAGTATCTGGTCTGTAGTGAATGAACAATGAAAAAGCTTCATGTAAAATTTCGTGTCATTCTATGGATCATCTCTGAGTTATGTCATGGCTGAGGGGGATTTATAGCATTCCTTTCCAAGTCAGAATCTATCAGTGTGCTTCTTGAGTGGTGGATAGGAGGTCTAGGATAACAGCTGCTCCACTGTGAGTCTATTAGGACTGAGTATAGAATAGAGTAGCAGAATATCTTTGGGCTTTGTATTTACTTTGTATGTTTTCCTAAAATCAGCTGTGCTCATCACCCATACCTACCCCTCTGTTCATTGCTGTGCAACTGGACACTTAGGCTGTATGTCTTGCCTGGAGGGTGACTTTTCCCTTTGATTCTGGGATATGACTTTCAAGTTCAGCAGCAATGTCAATGTCCTTGTTTTAGCTTTGTGGTCATCCCCTAGGGAAGGCATGTTTAATTACTCCATGTATTGAGTATATTTAGCATCTATGTGTCAGATTCTGTGTGAGGAACTAAGGATTCAAAGACAATAGGAATCTCATCATCTCCTTCCCAATCCTTAGTTTTGGAGCTTGCAGTGTTCTGGCAGACAATCCAGCAATAATTGAGCAATGTGACTAGTGCTGTGTATAAGACGGTGGAACTGTAGAGATGGGGGGTATTTATAGAGCATTTTGATCATCTTCCCTAGCACGTGCAGTGCACTGTGGTTTATTTGTGTAACTGTCTTCTAAAGTAGACTGCTTCCCAAGGATAGGAACTGTGTCTGCTCATTTTTGGGTTGCCAGCACTCGGAGAGCCTCCTATGTGTTGGTGAACTATATCCTGAATCTACAGATGAGAGATGTGGTCGCTGTGCCTAAGGAAGTTTTCTCCTGGTGGAGGAGATGGATGTGTCATGCTCAGATTCAAGAGAGGATGATGGGGAGCTGAGGGAACACCTCACAGTCTGGGGAAAGGCTGTCAGGAACAGCTAGAGAAAGTACTGTTTAAGATGAGACACTTCGAAGACCAGTCTGAAGCCAAGTAACATGGAATTCTAGACAGGAAGCAGCTACCAAGGTTGTATGGTGTTTGGAGTTTTATATCAAGGGCCATAGAAAGCCATGGAGAGATTTTTAAGTCAAGAAGTGATATAGGATATTTCAGAAAGGAGACCCTTAACACACCAGGGGCAGAGACCATTTTTCTAGTTGGGAGAGCAGTACTGGAACTGAGATTGTGGAGCGGGTAAACTTGGGCCTGGGTTATGATGGGAAACAGGGGATTGCTGGCTTTTGACTTGGACACATATCTGTGCCAATCAGTGACACAGGAAAGGCCAGGTTCTGTGACTTTAGGCACGTTCCTGATGCTCTTCTGCTCTGAGCCTTGGTTCCTTGTCCCTCGGTGTAGCTGAGCCTGTGCTCAGATCTCCTATGCTAGAGGTGTGCTCCCTGCAGCCATGGTGGCTCTCCCTACCCTGGCAGCAGCCCTGCATCCAAGAGCTCCCTTCCTAGCTCTAATAAGCACCTCCCCCTCCCCCTCCATCTCCTGGACGTCCAAGTCCTTGAGAAACAGAACTGTCCTTGTAGGCCATTAAGAGCTTCTCCCCCATCTCTTTCTTTACCCAAGGCCAGAGTTCTGCTTGCTCTTTGTGTGGTCCAAAAAGAAAACTACTGCTGTTTTTTTAGAATGGACTGTGTTTTTTTTCCTCTAACCATTTATGGGCACCTGAGAACTCCAACCCAAGCTGTTCTTTATTTCATCTGTCACCACAATACGAGCTTCTGTAACCTGCTACATCAGTGAAGGCGCCAGTTGCCCAGATACAGGTTGCTACTCAAATCAGCTGCCATGCTTTGCAGCAAGAGCCTCCAGCTCTTCATGGGTTCTTTGTTTTCATATGTGATCCCTTCAAGTGTCTGTCATATTGGTTCTGAGTCACAACATCAAAAATGTTTTAGGCGTTCAGGATGGGTTTGGAGCAACCATTCTTCTGCCCCTCCAACATTTTGACTGATGGAGGCTTCATACAGGATTGGGCAAATGTCCAATAAATCCCCCAAATATAGGGCATCAGGCAAATTCTCTATAGAGCCAAGACTGGATAAATCCTCTCTTGTCCCTGGGACCCGAATGCCCTGGTTTGGCATCAGGGAAGAGCATGGTTCCACGCAGAAGCACAGTTCCTTTCATCAGCTGGCAGGGATGCCCACAGGCCTGCCTCATATTCTGCCAGGGAGGGCAGTAGCATTGGGGGCCTCCCCTCTTAAGTGACTCCCAATTTAATTGGGCACATAGCAAGAGATAGGAGGTGGAGGGGTTCAGGGCCCTGGGCCAGAAATATCCATACCACTAGGATATAAGATCCAATTTGAAGGCTGCCTATTTTGTGCTTTGAGGCCTTGTGCAGAGTTAAATGTAGCCCACTGAACTTGGCTGTTACTTCTGAGACCTGTTTAGACACAGAGGTGAGGTGCCAATTTTCCGAGAGGACCAATGGAAGTGGGAAGGCAAGTTGGTCATTACAGATGACAATCCAGGAGAGAGGGCAGGATATGCAACTTGTTAAAATATAAATATGTGACGTGGGTTTTCCAGAGAAATTACAGCAGTTAGAAGGAAGGAGTAAAGATTTTACAGCTGCCTAACTTGCAAATTAAGCTTTTCTTTTGAATAGTTTTTATTGTCTTTTCAAGAAGATTTTCAAGAATGAGCACCATAGTCTGTAGGTTTTGGCTCGGTTTCTTGCTGTGAGTCCATTAAGGTATTATTTCAGTCTTGGCTGAAATTTGCCCACAGCATAATGTGAAGCAGCCAAGTTATCCCAATAATCTCGCATAGGCCAGTATTTATAAATTATCAGGGTCTCATTATATCTATTATCTGAACAAGATTCAAATTCCCAAACCCTGGTTATGTTTYTTTTTTTAGGGTAAAGTAAAAATCTATTGAAATGAATGTGTCACTTGATTGTGTTAGCACTTTTCAAGTGGCCAATTTATTTAGAACATTCCCATAAGGAGAAGAAATAAATTAAGTGAATTATGCATGGAATGTGCTTGGTTCTAGTTCAAAGCAGTAGAGAAGATTTCAGAAGGAAGCACTGATATGCTTGTCAACTGTCAAAATATAGGACTAAATTTTCTTTTAACAGGAGAGAAATATCCAAATAAATCATAGATTGTAAATTCATGAGGGAAATATACCAAAATATTCTTGCTTGAAATTCATGCATCATTTTTCACAGAGAAATCACAGAAATCTGTGTTAGATAATACATTCACCTAAGATTTACTAGTTATTCTCCCATATTAAGAGAAGTTGTCTTCCAGTAATAATCTGCTTAAGCATCTCTCCCCACCCCTTTTCCTTTTCCTTCTAGGATGATGGCACCTGTGAGGTTAGAGTCTCTGGAGAGAGGCTACAATTGGTTAGGGTCTGAAAGAGCCTGTGGTTCACTCCTGTGGTTTGATGAAAACTAAGCCGTGTGCATTTAGTGGATTTTTTTTTCCTGAATTTTTCTCAAAATTTTATGCAGAAAATATGACTATCACATTTTTTTTTTCTTACCAGTGGCATGAGGTATAGGAATGGGAGAATGGAATGGATACCATGAAACTTAATCATAAGTCTTATAGGAAAAAAAAACCTCTCATAGTGAATTAAGGATCAAAGC